TGGAATTTAAGATAAGGAAGGAACTGGGATTTAGTAAAACATGGTCCAGCTCAGGGTTGCAAATGGCAGTGGTTTTATTTAACAGGGGAGATGGTGACACAATGTCTTATTGGTTCCCTTGCACCCACACATGCGCGCGTGCACATACACACACAGTGGCAGCAGGGGTTAGACAGGCTTGGTGCAGGGGCTGAAGTCCACTGAAGTCCAGGAGGAGAGAGAGAGACAGAGAGAGAGATTCCAAATTGTAGGAAGAGATGTGCAGGTAATACCTACCTATCCAGGCTGGAAAGGGGTCCTTGTCAAGTAGATGTTGTCCAGAGGGGAGTCGCTGGCAGGGCCTCTGGGTGAATAGGTGGTGTGGCATGGTCACTGCCCCTTTTGATAGGGGCAGACCTTGTGTGACCCTAGTGACAGGAGGCATGCCCAGGCAAGGGTCAGCCCCTGGCATACTGAGCATATGTGCTCCATGTAGGGAGGTGCAGTTTCAGGTGTCTGTAATGGTGAGAGTTGCTGGTTCTGCAGGGTCTTTTGTCTTTCAAATGCTGGTTTTGTCTCTGTTCCTGGGTGAGGTCTGTGGTTCCTGGATGAATCAATGCAAGGTGATGGTCCAGTCGTTACAGGCCATTCGGTAGAGGCCTACTACCATTGTATTTCAGTCATTTCCAATCACACTCATTCATCAGGGAACCAATTTACATGGGAGGGATACGTAACTCATACAGTTGCGACACACAGGGGATGCCCGGGCAGAGGACACAAGATGGAGACATGACATATAAAATGGAAACTTAACATGACTTTGGTTCACTTACAAACACAGGCCTAAACCATACAATATCCATATGAAACAATAAAAATCAATACAAAAATGATAATAATACAATATAAAATAGTGGATACAAAACCAAAAACTTGCTACCAAAATAAAAATGTTTAAAGCTTATCCTACATCTTAGCTTACTTATACTTATCTATGGGGAACAGAGAGGGAGAGAAAAAGTCAGAAATGGTTGGGGAAGGGGATGCAATAAAGATTAAAAAAAAAAAGGAAAAACTGGGGGTTTTGCTACACTTTATTTCCACCTCAGTAGATGTCCATTGCCTTTCTGGGGTTACTTGATTCATAGATACTAAATTTCCAGTTCTCTCCCCAAACCTCACTCTAAGCCAGAAAAAATAAATATTGTTCACTCTAGACATGTTAAAAATATTATCCATTTATTTGGACATAACAAAATTTTCTTAACATTTCCTAAACTGTTTGCTGGATTTGTGGAAAGAGATAAAGGACAATCTACCTCCAGTCAGTAGGTTTCAGATTTCATCATAACGTGCTGTCAGATGGGAAAGAAAAATGTAGTAGTCCATACACACCTTCAGCAGCGTCAGGCTAATTGACTAACATGGCAACCTCTGAAATATATTGAATAGATATCTGGCATTTAGCCATCTACAAAAGCTGTTTCAGTGATGTGTAAGACTGTAACAGCAAAACAAATGTGTATGGTACCTTTCATGCCCCAGCAATATTTAATTGCTATAAATTATGTTATACGTCAGGGTGTGTATTTTATATCTTTTATATTTGGGTACTTTAGTGTATATTTCTTCTAGTAATTTTACCATTTATAGTAATATAGTTTTGTACATGTAGAAATAATAAACAGGAGATTTAGTACAAGACTTGTTTTAGGCATTACTGTTGGTGTTGACTTAGTCGGTGTGCCTTTTGTATTTCATCTGGCTTGGCATCTCTTTCAAAAAGAAAATGAAAACATGTTCACTGTCTAATAACCATATTTGCAGAGCATAATTTCCTGGAGTTTTCTTGGAACAAGGATCAGAAGGTTATGCAAACAGGCATATTTTGTCTATGTAACACTGTCTTGTGAATATCAGAGAGAAGCTTCTGCATTATTGTCAGACAGATGGCTGAAAACACTGTAACTCCCTTTAAGAGTCCTACCAAGAGCAGATAACTCAACCCCACATGAGTAATTGAAACACCATGTTTTCTGTAGACTTTGCTCATTAGGGAGTTTTTAATAACTTTTAAATGTATTGTGGAAGTAGAACATACTGTTAGCCTACAACCCAGGCTCTGTATCTTTAAACACCAAATTGAGTTATGAATTTTAAGAGTGGGCTTAAATTTTAAATGATGAAAAGTCGTAATTCAGAGATGAAGTAGTAGTTTGTTGATGTCAGATTTAAGTGATCATTCAGTTCCATCTTTATGAAGGCCAAACTGTGAAAAGGATATCAATTTAGTTACTCTTGTGAGTTATAAATTGGGATGGGCAAGATTTGTGACAAAGTCAAAATGCTGAGAAGCACTATAGTCTAAGTTATTAAAGTACAGACAGTCAAAAGATTTTGGTTCTATCCCCCACTCTGCCAAGGGCTTGATTAGTGGCCTTGAGTGAGTCATTTAAACTTTCTAGATTAAATCCCGTCTCCAGTTAAATTGATGGAAATCAGTGTCTTTTACTCCAGTGAAGCTGAGATTTCCCTGCCTCTTTTCCCTGTCTAAAAGCAGAAAGTATTTATGCTTACCTAATTCACAGCTGTAACGTTTAATCAAGTATTACAGTGGCTGGAAAATTCCATGTAAATAGTACGAAAAGGGTCAGCTATCAATTTCAGCAGAATGTAATCTTTTGTAAAAAAAAAAAGTCCCTAGTTTTCATGCATATGAAAACAATGCTTCATAGCTTCAAAACAGTGCAATATTCTCTGAGTTTCCAGATAGGCAGTTCAGTGCCTACACTGATTCTCTGCATAACTGAGCAATCATAAAATCAGTAGGATTTATCCTTTGTGTTGCTGCTCTTGAAAACCTTGTTCTGTGAGAAACTGTTGAGAATAGTGTCATTTTTCTGGTGCTGCTCTTGTCTGAATCTCTGAGCAGAAAATGAAGTAGATGTTTAATCCTCGTTAACCAAGTTGATGTGGAACACAATATCTATTGACCTGTACTGACCTCAAACCCTTAAAAACTTTTATTACCATTTTATGAAAACTACAATACAAAGGGTGGTTAAGCAGTTGAAGTTGAAATGCTAGATAAATGAAAGGCAGAAAAATGAAAGCAAAAGATAATTTCCTTAATTCAGCACTTGGAACTTGTTCTGGTATATTTGGTTTCTCTCTTTCTTCTCACTATCAAGAGCTTGCAATGCTAAAGTCATACATGTGTATGGTATGACTTTGTCACATCCTATTATAGTTTTTATATTTACACCCCATGTTTTTAAATTAATGTGTATTGTATATACGTTTGTTTTTGTAAAATGGGTGATTTGTTTAAACAGAAATTGCGAGTAAAGCAATAAACCCTACCCCACAACAATTAAATTCATGAGACAGAATAATTCAATTTAGAAAATGAGCACAACTAACATGTTTTATGACTACATAACTTTCTCTTTGTGTTTTATTCCAGAACCGAATGGAGGAAAGCAAAGCACTCTTTAGGACAATTATCACATATCCATGGTTCCAGAACTCTTCAGTCATTTTGTTCTTAAATAAAAAAGATCTCCTAGAGGAGAAAATTATGTACTCCCATCTAGTTGACTACTTTCCAGAGTATGATGGTAAGTAATTGGATCATCACACTCCAGACCCTGTTTTAATAGCATTTGACAAAGCAAGCTGTTGCCTATGAAAACTTATGCCTTTGTGAACCATTTATTCTCTAAAGGTACCACCCTGCCTGTTCTTCTGTCTAACTTCAGACTAATACAGCTAGCTACCTCTCTGTACTCCAGATACTGAACATACTCCAGAATATGTTTACTCTGCCTTGCTGACATATGGGTAAATAGCATTATCTGAAAGGCAGACACAATCTCCAGTACATATTGGTTAGAAATGCATTCAGTCCATATTATACCTATTAGCATGTAAAGCAGTGATTTATCTACCAGTGTTTACAGTCGTATTACAAATATGTACTGATGATGTCAAACAGTTAACTGGTAGGTGGGTAGCTAAGGCTGTAATGATTTAACAGAGAAAAAGAGAAAAAATACACATGAACACAGCAGTTTTGAACATCTCTAATTTTCAAATATAGCATTTAAACTTTATTTTAAAGTGGCTGTTAGATAAGTGTAAACAGCTGCACAGAGTTGAATTACAAATCATGAATTGTGATGTTTCTATAAAATGTGCATGAGTTAAGGCTGTGGATGAAATCCTGATTCCATTAAGGACAGCCAGCGTTTTGCTACTAATTTCACTGAAACTAGGATTTTGTCCTACTCCATCACTTGAGGTAGAAAAGGTACCTAGGTGTTTTGTGACATACAGTTTTACATTTGACATTCGTGAATTTTTGCCATTGGAATCCTTTGATGTTGGGGAAATATTTTTGTGTTATCACTGCACTTCCAGCCTGGCCTGAAAATTGGGTGCTTTTAAAAGCAGGTCTTTTTCTAGGAATTAAGGATTATTTGCTGCTGAACTTTTCAACAGAGGTATAAAATATACCGCTCTTCTCTCCAAAATATATACATTTCCCTACGTATTTTGTAGAATACATTTTACTTGACTTTTCAGAGCAAATGAACTTTTCTTTAAAGCTGGATTCTGAAAAGAATTTATCATAAATTCTTTTGGGGCTGAAGAAGACTGCTTCTTAGCCAGCCCCCAGGTACCACGTGGTCTAAAGCAACATCCAGAGTAACAAGCTACTAACATTGTTGCCTCCACCTTCTCCAGGTAGCTGAACATGGAAAAGGGGAAGCACTGGGAGGATAATAAGGCAAACTGGAAAGGAAAGCCCCAGACCGCTGTGGTTTTAAATGCGACCGTAGGCCAACTTGGGCTGGGCAGTTCTCAAGGGTGAGGGACAAAGATATAGAGAAGTGGGGGTGCGTTATGGTTTACTTCCGTTTTTTGTTTTGATTTGATAATGTGTTTTCCTTGTAGGGAAGGGGATAACAAATGGGTTTTGGAGACAGGCACAGCTACCTTTTGAGAGGAGGGATAGTAAGTGAGGCAGGGGAGGCAGGGGAGTAGGAGTGGTTTGGGATGGGACTGAGTACATATGAGGGGAATAGCTGTTTCCTTGAATGTGGGTTGGGAAGCAAAGCTAGGGAGGGTGGGGGGGGACAATGCCTTCTTTGGTCAGATGCAAGGGAGCAGGTATGGTGGAGTAGATTGCTTTTGAATTTGCTTTCTCTCTCTAGGAGTGGGGGGGGTGTTTGTTCTTTTTCAATATTTTATTCTGTTTCTATTCTTTTTCTCTTCTATTGTTAAACTGCCCTGAGCATTTTTGGAAAGCATATAAATCTAATAAAGAAATAAATAGGAGCTTTTAAGTAGTTCAGAAAGCTTTGATATGAATCCTCCCACCTTTTCACAACTTCATTTTCATAAAGAAAGCTCCTTCATTCTAATTTTAGGTCACTTCTGTGAGATTTAATGTGCCTATGCCAGAAAAGATAATGCTGGTCACATACTAGTTGCTAAGGCAACTGTTTGTTCTGCAAGTTTTCCTAAAGCGAAAGTGGTGTTATTTAAGGTTAGCTGAATGGAGATTTTGGTAGGAGTGCAAGAAGTCTTAGGTTCATCTGGTGAGCAGACTGAAGGGCTGAATACTTAATGTAAAGGCTCCATTGTTCCAACTGGAATTTAAGCAGCAGGTTAGACTGCAGGAAAAAATGGTAATATTACAAAGAATAATAATATTTCCCCTTTTCAGAACAGACATCAGTGTTAGGCAGAACCAGGTTCATGATTTTAGGATCTTGAAAGGTAATTTTAGTCTAGTAAGTCGTCTTATTCGTTCAAATTTAGTTTAGTATTCCATTGGTGTTGGCTTCTAATCCTGTCTATTCATAAGGTTGCCCAACACATTCTGTTTTTTTATTTGCATCTTGCTTATAACTTTAGCAAATTTTAACCATTCAAGCTATATTTTCCCCGCTGCGGTTTGCCTTAGGCTTTCTTTTTTAATTCTTATTTCAAAATGGCTCAGCTGTTCCAAGAATGAAACTAGCAAAAAACAAGCTAAATTTTCTTATACATCCTTTTAGAGCATGATCTTTTTCTCCATGTAGATCAGAAAATACCTTCTCTTTTTCAAGTTCCTATTCAGATCCTATTCAGTTTTCTTTTAGGCCATAATTACCAATGAAAAGTAAATTAGATTGTGACCTGGGGTGGGGTGTGGGACAGAGCCACAGGCAGCTCACCCCGGGGGTGGGGAGGAGAATGGGGGCAGCTCCCCGCTGCTGCATGCACTCTTGGGGGAGGCCATGAGCCACCTGGGCTCCATAGGGGCCATGTGCCACCTGGATTTGTGTGTGGGGCAAGGGCAGGCTGTTCGCTGTGGGCTCAGAGCCAGGGGCTGTGCCAGCCTCTTCTCAGCGGGAGGGCTGGGTCGGGGCTGTGTTTGGGGTGGGCTGGTGGGGGTAGTTCATAGCTTCATAGTTTCTAGGGTCGGAAGGGACCTGAGCAGATCATCGAGTCTGACCCCCTGCCATGGCAGGAAAGAATGCTGGGGTCAAACGACCCCAGCAAGGTGTACATCTAGCCTCCTCTTAAAGACCCCCAGGGTAAGAGCCAGCACCACTTCTCTTGGAAGTTGGTTCCAGATCCTAGCCGCCCTGACCGTGAAGTAGCGCTTCCTGATATCTAGGCTAAATCTACCCTCTGCCAGCCTGTGACCCTTATTTCTGGTCACTCCTAGTAGTGAATGGGGGAACAGGGACTTTCTCAGTGCCTGCTGGTCCC